CCATGCAATTAAATAATCACCGATGGCACACCATTCAGGGCTGTACAGATGATATTTAAATAGCCATTTGGCTATTTGGATTTCTAAAGGTTTGACTGAAGCAGAAATTTAATGTTATATTTTGGCCAAATACGGAGGTGGAAGCTGAATTTCAGAACATCGCTATAAAAATGACAAATTTCTGCCAAGATGAATAAAGAAAAGAGAAAAAAAAGGAAGAGAGGGAGACAGATGCACAAATAAATAAATTAGGAATGAAAGATAAGAGGGGAAAATACTGTGAACAACTTAATACCAACACATTTTAAAATGTAGACAAAATAAAATCCTAGGCAGGGCACAGTGGTTCACACCTGCAATCCCAGCACTTAGGGAGGCCAAGGTGGGCAGATCACTTGAGCCCAGGAGTTCAAGAGTAGCCTTGGCAACATAGGGAGACCCTATCTCTACAAATAATAAAAATAATTGGCCAGCCATGGTGGTGAATGCCTGTGGTCCTAGCTACTTGAGAGGCTGAGGCAGGAGGACAGCCTGAGGCCAGAAGGTCAAGGCCGCAGTGAGCCACTGCACTCCCTCACTGCAGAGTGCCCCTGCACTCCAGCCTGGGTGACAGAGTAAGATGCTGTCTCAAAAATAAAAAAATAAGATTAAAATTTGAGAATAATATAGCTTATAAAAAAACTAACTCAAGGTGAAATAGCTTGAATGCTTCTCTAACCATTAAAGAAACCAATAGTCTTCCCACAAAAATATCAAGCTCAGATGGTTTTACAGTCAAGTTCTAGGAAATTTTCAAAGAACAGATCTTTCCAATATTATGCAAACTTTTTTTCAGTCAATCTAAAAGAGAGAACACTTTCTAATTTATTTTAATACCAATACCAGAAAATGGTACTGTGAGAAAGGAAAAAAATTAATTATCCATAAATGAGATTAAAAAATCCTAAACAACATAATAGTAAATATGATCTAGTCATGTACAAGAATGAATAACACAACACAGCCAAGAGAGATAAACAAACCACAGAAATGCAAAGATGGATTAACATTAAAGCAATCTATAAATATAATTCTCCTCAAGAAGAAGAAAATTTAAGAAAATATAATCATCTCAATACTTTTTTAAAAAGCTTTTGAAAAAATTCAGCACTTGTATATGATAAAAAAAATTGGCAAATCATGAATATAAGTGTATTATTTTCTTTTCCTTTTTTTTTTTTTTTGAGACAGTCTCGCTCTTTTGCCCAGTGCAGTTATGCAATCTCAGCTCACTGCAACCTCCGCCCCCTGGGTTCAAGCAATTCTCCTGCCTTAGCCTCCCGAGTAGCTGGGATTATAGGCACACACCACCACACCTAGCTAATTTTTGTATCTTTAGTAGAGATGGGTTTTCGCCATGTTGGCCAGGCTGGTATTTCCTTAACATGATAAATGATGTCCACAAAAAAACTTACAGGAAATAATAAATATTATTAATGGTTTAACATTAGAAGTCTCCCCTTGAAAGCCAGGAATAAAACAAGGATATGTACTGTGGCCATAATAGATATCCTCTATCCCTCATTATGCTGGAGATCTTATTCAGCAGAGTAAGAGGAAAGGAAGAAGAAAGAAAAGAGAGGCAAAGGCATAGGAATAGAAAGGAATAAACAAAACTGCCATTATTTATATATAATATGATTGTCTATATAGAAAATCTCAAAGAATCTGCATATAAATCATGATAAATGTGAGAGTATAGCAAGGTATCCAGATGTAAGCTTATTAGATTTATCAATTGCTATTTTTTTAAGAGACAGGATCTTGTTCTTGTCACCAAGGCTGGAATACAGTGGTGTGATCACAGCTCACTGCAGCCTTGACCCCCCAGGCTCAGGTGATCCTCCTGCCTCAGCCTCCTGAGTAGCTGGGACTACAGTCACATACCACCATGCCAGGCTAATTTTTGCAATTTTTGTAGAAATGAGGTTTTACCATGCAGACGAGGCTGATCTTGAACTCCTAGGCTCAAGCGATCCACCAGCCTAGGCCTCCCAAAGTGCTGGGATTACAGGAGTTGGACACCACTCCCAGCTGTCAACTGCACTTTTGTACACCAGTCAGAAAGGACTGCTTGACATGCGTTGGTGCTTCAGAATCTTTGAAGAGGGGACCCAGAGAATAGGGCTTAGTTTTCCGAGAAACAGAAATTACCCAGGTGATGATTATACCTTTAAGGTGATATAATTAAGTCGATTAAGTCGGGTCTGAGAATGAGAAAAAAGAACTGGAAACTGGAACCAATTATTCTGGAACCAAATGTTCCTGCCACGGCAAAAAATCCATTGCTTTAGTGAACACAAGGCTGGTCTCCCTTCCTGCCTTCCATTCTTCCCCAGCATCCCTCATCGTGGAACCCAAAAGGGAGCCATTTGGCAGAAATACAGTTTACAGAGACTTAGCCCAGTATCCACGGCAAGGTATAGAAGGCTGGGCTTGAAACAAGAGACAATAGTTTAATAATCCAGCCATATGTGTATAGAATATTTTAATATTTAATATTTAGATTTTTTTTCTTTTTTTTTTTTTTTTTTAGAGATGGGTCTAATTTTATTGGCCAGGCTAGATTCCAACTCCTGGGCTTAACCCATCCTCCTGCCTCAGCCTCCCGAATAGGTGGGACTACAGGCTTGTGCCACCAAACCTGGCTCTAAAATATTTTTAATATTTAATTATTAAATGACATTTAAAAAGTCTTAACAGGAGAAATATACTGTTTTCATGGATAAGATGCCACATTCCAAAATTTATCTATATTCAAGACAATTTCAATCAAAATTCCCACAGGTTTATTTTTGGTGAAACTTGTCAAAATAGGATTTTAAAATTGATACAGAGAAGCAAAACCCCAGGAAGAGTGAAGCCGTTTAGGAAGAAAAATAACAAAATATAAAATTACTGTTTTGGAAATGTTTCTAAGTCACAGTAAAATTTGTTCAGCTCTGAGTGTTGACCAATATATGTAGCCATATAATCCTCCCCACAATCAAGTTACACTTTATTTCTATGACCTCCTCCCTCAAATCTCCTCATGTCTTCTTGTGGCCAATCCCTTTCCCCACTCCTATCCCCAGCAACCTCTGATCTTCCTTCTGTCTCTACAGTTTTAACTTTTTGAAAATGGTAAGTTTTAAAATATGTTTTTAATGCAGAATTAAACATACTGACCAAGGCAACAAAACAATGAACCCGGAAACAAACAAATACATAGAAGGAAACTTGATATGTGACAGCAGTGCGATTGCCCATCAGGGGGAGGAGGGCAGATTTGTCGATAAGTGATGCAGAGGTAATTGGCTTATCCACATGGAAAAAAATGCAATTGAATTTCTCTCTCATGCCATACAGAAAATTTGACAGATTAGTGACTTAAAAGGTACATAAAAGTCATACTTAAACAATTGGTGGAAAATATAGGACACTATCTTCCTGACTTTAAGAAATGTTTTCTTAAATAACACCCAAAAGCCACCAACGTTAAAAGACTAATAAAATTAAAGAAATTAAAACTAAGACTTACTGTTCTTCAAAAGACACCATAATGAAAATAAAAAGATAAGCCATAATCTGAGAGAACTTACAACAAAGAGTAATATCCAGAAATATAAAAATTCTTATGATTTAATCATAAAAGATAATCCACTGGGAAAAGGAGTAAAACATGAACCGGGATTCTATAGAAAACAAAAATGACTGGGAGATGATAGATAGATAGATAGATAGATAGATAGATAGATAGATAGATAGATAGATAGATACAGTGATAGGGAAGTATGTTTAGTAGATGCTTAGCAGTCAGGGAAATATAAAACAAGAACATATTTTTGTTAAATGGGTAAATACATAAGAACTCTAACAATACCAAGTGTCAGAATGCAAAAGAAGAAAATGCACGCTATCTATGAGTACTGACTTGGCATTACTTTGAAAAACTTAAATATTTGAGTTTCCTGTGATTCAGAAATTCCATTCTCAAGTATATTTTCATGAATACGTGTTCTAGAAGTCCTACATACAAATATACTCATAGTAGCATTATTTGATATTTCAAAATATTGAAAAAACCTAATATTGATTGACAAGAGAATGAATTATTATTTATTGTAGAATGTTTATTTAGTATGCAAAATACTCATCTCACTAGTGTATAATAAATTGTAGCTAAATGGAACAAAATGGATGAATCTTAGAAGTAATTATTCAGTTTAAAAGGGTAAATAAATAAAATCAAATTACAGAGAACTAAATAAAATATTGTGCCTTTTTCTAAGACTCAAGTACAAGTAAACGTGAACAACATAATGTTTAGAGATCTATGCATACATGGAAAGCTATGGATTTTTAAGCTATGGCTACCTCTGGTGGGGCAGGTGGTAGGGTTGTAACACTCAGGTAACTCCAGTAAGACTGGGAAGATCTTAGTTCACAATTTGAGTAGCGGATTCACAGGTATTCATTTTGTTATTATGCTTATCACTTAAGAAAATATTACACAGATTCAACTATTATATGATAAAAGCAAGACAGTAAATAAGAAGATTTATTCTTTTTAAAAAGGGTGCTGGACTTTAACAAATATTTACTAATATTTGGTTCTAAAATATCTCGAAAAAATATTAAATACTTGGAAATTTAAATTTGCATTGAATAAAGATTCTTTTCTTGTTTAAGCAGTCAATAATGTTGCCTCTGAAGCTGTCAGTTGCACAACAGGGTGGCTATGAATTTATAGAAGTGGCTTCCTTTTGAAACTGTATTACAGTGTGCACTGAAAGCTCCAGAGGCTACAAGGAGAAGGTGCCTTCTTTTTGATAGAGTATTAAATTTTCTGTGTTAAAACTGCAGAAAACAATCTTCCTCTACATTCTCTTTTAGAAATTATTGATGCTTTGGGAACATAATTACCATTTCCCTTGCACATCCCATTTCTTAAAATAAAATCTTTTACAATAAAGATTTACCTGTTAGCCCAAATCTGTCAAAGCCTACTGTAATATTCGTTTTACATTCCCATAGTAAATACCAGCATACAAATTCATTTGAGTGTCATGATTATTCCACGGATCAATGAGTGTAACAGATTGTGTGAAGTTGGTATAAACTGCATTCCCGTTGAGGGTTTCTTTTTTTAACATCTTCCACTTGAGCAATAAAACAAAAAAGTAGCTCCATTATCTGAAATAAAATATAACATAGAATATAATTAAGAAGATTATTAATGCTTTTTATTTATACATGTTTGACATTCAAGCCATCTGGTATCCCAGCTCTCTGCTTTATTTTTCTTTTGCCCATATTTCTTTCCTTACTTATTGTTAATGTAGCTTTATCTTATCTATTGGTATTTGTGAATTTCCCTAAGTTCGTTTTAAGATTTCAGGTGTAAATGAATAAAATAACTGATAAAATATACTATTGTTAACAGAAAAACCAGCTCTGTAAAATATTTTAAAGAGGTTTATTCTGAGCCAATATGAGTGACCATGTCAGGCATAACACAGTCTCAAGAGATCCTGAGGAAGTGGATTTTACTTTTTCATTTTTCTCAGTTGCACACTAGGGTGGGTACCAATTTATAAAAGTGGTTTCCTTTTGAAACTGTATTACAGTGTGCTCTGAAAGCTTCAGAGGACTACAGGGAGAGGGTGCCTTCTTTTTGATAGAGTATTAAACTTTCTGTGTTAAAACTATGGAAAACAATCTTCCCTTGCATTCTCTTTTTGAAATTATTGATGCTTTGGGAACATGATTACCATTTCCCTTGCACATTCCATTTTCTTAAAATAAGATTTTTTTACAATAAAGATTTTAAAAATAGAGGCAGCTGGGTTACAGTTGAGTATTATACCTTTCAGGGAGGCAAGAGTTACAGGCAAAGACATCAATCAATATTTTGCAGGTCTGTTCCTTAGTTCAGTTAAAGATGGGGTCCTTGTCTGTCCCACGGCCATTAAAATTTAGGCTCAAAGACGGTTTGAAGGGTGGGTAAGACAAGGTTTTATTGGGTGAAAAGTGGGGAGAAAAAGGGGAAAACAGGGCACCTCCACAAGTCAGAGTCTCTGCTAGAGTGCTTGCCGTCAGCAGCTTGAATTCCAGGTTCCACACAGGAAGAGGAGGAGCTGCCTCCTTCCTGCTGCAAAGTGTGTGAACTCTTGTGGCTCCACCCCAGTGTGCAGGTTAGCTGGAGTTTCTCTGAGGATCCCCTCCCACCTGGGTGTCTCATTCCCCGCGCTAGAGAAGTATATCTAACTGCTATTAGAATAAGCGTAAGGACGAAGAGCGATCTTAACTGTCTCCTGCTGACAGGGGGCGCTGTTTTGGGGAAACCGCAGTCAGAGCTCCCTCAGAGGCCTATTTAAGGGTTCCCAGCAGAAAGGATCGCCATCAGAGGCTCCGGTTGCATGACTGTTTGTAGTTTGATGGCCTGAAGGCAAGAATAGACAACATGTATCAAAACAAAACAAGGGGAGGGGTAAAAATAGCTCAAAAATTCCAAGACCTTTTACCAGTTTGCACAGGGAGAGGGAGGCCAACAGCCCAACTGGTTAAAAAAAAACTTTACCCTTTTGCCAGCATGTCAGGCTTCTGGGTTCCCTTCCCTTGAGCCCATTCCAAAGCCAGACAGTTTAAGGTTTGGGAAATTAATTCTTTCCGGTTTGGAGGATGTTTCTGAGGGGAGTGTCCCATAGTATGAAGACACAATTACCTATCAGTGAAGAGGACAGAGGAAGAAAAAGGAAAAAAAGAAGGTGTTGTTCTTTTTTTTTTTTTTTTTTTTTTAAAGGAGTCCCAGAGGTTCAGGATGTATTCAACAGGGGTACAGACTGAAGATGAATGCCTACCCATCTAGAAAGATGGGGGCAGGCATCCCTGGATCCCTTCTCTTCCTAGCAGATACCCGAGGTGTTGCGGGACAATCAAAGATGGGAGAGACTGAACAGAGTGAGTCCAGGAAAGGTCTTTATTAAAAGGTGATCACCTGGCTTAGTAGGACTAGCGTCCAGGAAAGTCTGAGCAGCCTGGCTCAGTAGGACTAGCGTCCAGGAAAGTAAAAGCAGCCACTTTTTAAGCAGCCAGTGGCCGGGAGCTATGTGATGCAGGAGTGTGCTTACAGAAGTGAGAACAAAGACAGTTGATCAGTCTTTTACATTTATTTATATTACATGTTTCACATCCTTGGGAAACCATTAACTGTATAAACCATTTCTGTATTAACCTTGTAACTTTGCAGCTGTGCTAGGGAGATGAAGCAGGAACTTGCTGAGCCTCAAGGAATGTGAAACTAGCAAGTACAGATAAGGCTCGCTGAGCATAGAAGGAAAAACAGGCAGTTAGTATTTTTCTCTAACTTACCTACAGGGTGGGGCTACACTACATTTAGCTTTTGAAGGAAAAAGTAAAACTTTTTGGTTGTCTTTGATTATACTTGTAAAATTCATTAATTCCTTCTTCAGAGGTACATGAGGGAGAGAGGGAAAAGCATCCTCTTTCCTTTTCCATCCTTGCATCCCTGGGTCCCAGCAACCTTGGTGGTGCCACCTTGGGTGTAAGAGTGGCTTGCACCCATGAAGCAGGGGGCCTAGTGGGTGAGAATCATCCGCTCTTATCCACATATGCTCTGTCTTACCTGCTGCCAGCAGCCTTGGATTCCCTAGACCTCATTTATGCCACAGATACCAACGCGGTCTTTCTCCATGAAACAGGAAGCTTGGGGTTGACTTAATCGGCAGGAATCAGCCATGCTTACCTGTGTTGTGCCTTTTAATTTCTGTTATTGTCTGCCTCTGGATCCCTCAGATCCAGTTTTCCTTCCTAGGGTTTTGACCCAATGCTTGGAATTGAGTTTGGGACAAAAATGTGTCTCAGCTGGGGGGTTGCATGGACTTCTTATCATAAGCCAAATGCAAAAGTGAAGCTATGGAAGGATGTCTTGTGACACATCCAGATAACTGGTAGCTATATTTATGCTTGATAGAATTTGGGTGCATGGTGCTTGGCTTTGGTTAGCTCCCATGGTCTTACTTTCCCAAAAGGAAACCTCCAAGTGATGGGCATCCTATTTATTCCATTACCTGGCAGGATTTGGAGGATAATTGCTCAGAACTAGCATATTGGTCTGGATTTCTAATTACCTATCCCCTTTGTTCTTTCTGAACTGCAGCCAGGGATTGCTGGTTGGTTCATAGGAGCAAGCAGGGTTAGTCTAAAATGTAGGCAAAAACTTAAAAACAACTAATGAGTTTAAAATTTAATGACAAATGTTGACCCAGCAATGCCATTACTGGATGTATACCCCAAGGATTATGAATCATTTTACTATAAAGACACATGCACATGCATGTTTATTGCGGCACTATTCACAATGGCAAAGACTTGGAACCAACCCAAATGTCCACCAACAATAGACTGGATAAAGAAAATGTGGCACATATATACCATGGAATACTATGCAGCTACAGAAAAGGATAAGTTCATGTCCTTTGCTGGGACATGGATGAAGCTGGAAACCGTCATTCTCAGCAAACTAACACAAGAAAAGAAAACCAAACACCGCATGTTCTCACTCGTAAGTGGGAATTGAACAATGAGAACACATGGACACAGGGAGGGGAATATCACACCCCGGGGCCTGTCAGTGGGTGGAGGGGTAGGGGAGGGATAGCTTTAGGGGAAATACCTAATGTAGGTGACGGGTTGATGGGTGCAGCAAACTACCATGTGTATATCTATGTAACAAACCTGCATGTTCTCCCTATGTACCCCAGAACTTAAAGTATAATAAAAAAAGAATTTAGTGACAAATGTATAAGTTTTGAGACATGGTTTCTCTCTCCAGTTCTCATTTTTGTTAAAAAAAAAAAAATCATCATAGGACTGAATAGTTTATGAAATAAATTTTAGCCTTATACTTGGCCTGATTGCACAAAGTGCAGCAAGAATAATTATTTCTAATTAGGCCTTTTAGATTGGCTTTGATGGAAGTTTGTTCCACAAGAAATATCAGATAAGACCTTTTAAAACTGAGCCCAATCATGGGTTTGTATCCTCAAAACCCTGTGAGTTAGGTGATTCCTTCCTCTTAAGGTCCCATAATAAACTTGGAGCTCCTGGACCTGTTAGAAAGTGACATTCTTTACTAACCACAGGTCAGGAACCCTGTACAGGGACTGCGTAGACAAGGGTATGAGACCAGTTTCCTCACTGGGCTTTTATTGGCTCTACAAGTCGAGACTGACTCCTTAAACGGAAGCATACCCTTCCAGTCAAATCCTTGGTAAAATAACCACTTTCTCTAGTTGTGTCCTGTTGCAAAAGAAAAATGGATTCTTATTGCACTGATGCAAACAACTATATTGCCATAAGAATATTCACAAAATAGTTTCCAAATTCTAGAGGATTCAGGCAGAGAGAAACAAGCACCAAATTTTGATCATAGGAGTGTATAACTTAGTTATTAAAGGCTGTGAATGGTTCAAAATAAGTTTTCCTTGACTCTGAAAAAACAAAACGAGGATCAGATATATTCCAAGCAAAGATCAGAAAGATTTGCTTCAGCTTCCTGAGTTCAGTCCAGTTAGTTAACTCTTGTTGTGCTTGATATTCATGAACATTTCAGCTCTTTATGAGTCCTATACATTTTCCTTTATTCCAATGTTACAACCTCTAAAGTTATCAGAAGCCTGCCTTTGAGAGCACTTGTTAAAGTTCTATAGCTCATTATAAACCATCTTTGAAAAGGATTAAAACAAGACAACAATTGTCTGTGAACAGCAAAATGTCCAGGATAGTTATAGTTAGAAACACGATTGACAAAGAAGTTTGGTTATTTCCATGGTTTACAATAACCTGACATAATAATCTTAATTATGTTGGATAGCATATACTCTCACATTAGAATTTTAGAAATCCCATTCAATTTTGGAACATCTATTAGCATTATTCACCAAAACATAACCTAAAGAAGATTGAGCATCATTTTGGCAATCCCATGTACCTAAATATGTTAAATAATTCCTTTTACCTCTTTTCTGGACACTTCATGGGCCTTCTGAAGTATTCAAAAAGCCAGGTGTCAGGAAAGACAATTTTGAAACTTAAGGTTGATTTTGGGAAGCCTTTTAAATATCTTTAAAACACTTGATATTATGGAATAGAATTCCAGATAACCGTAA